TGTGTTCCTTAATATTTCTTGTCCCTTTGTCTTTGTGAGCTTGGTTGCATTTTCTTCTTTATGTGATTGTGTGATACGAATGGTGGTTATATTACCAAATCGTGTCAAGGACTTTTGAGTCCTAAATGATGATGGCCTTCTCTTAGAGAGAGAGTTGCTCTCTCTTTTTGGCTCTTGTGATTTGAAGTTCCAACTGTGTAGGATTTGAATTAAAGAAATCAGCGTGTTACTGTGTTTTGGAGAGTTTTTTGCATTGTATTCCTATAATAATTGTAAAAAGTAGGTATTAGTAAGAATAATTTATTTTTATTAGAATGATACCATTATAATTAGAGAGAGAGAATTTAATGCATTTATCTTCACAATCGAATATTTTACTAATTAATAATAAGTATGATAGTAAAAATTATTTATAATATATCACTAATTAGCAATGATCCATTTAAAATACAATTTAAATAACGAAAATGACTTAAATAAATAATTTAAATTAAATAAATAAAACTAATAAATAAATTTATGCAGGTTCTTACTAATGCTAATATCCAATATATTAGTTTAAGACATTAGATCCTATTAATATCTATATCTAATATATTAGTCTCTTAAGGCACACTCATGAAGCATTAACCTTATTATAAACAAAACAGTGATAAGAATTTATATATATTGATCAAGAATAAGAGAGGGGAGAGAGATTTAAGGAAAACGAGACTGCAAGAGATAAGGAAAGAAAGAGTGAGAGAGAGATTTAGGGGTGAGAGGTGAGATTAACACATATTTCTTTCCTTAACCCACATGTTTTTCATTAAAAATAGACATGGAAAATAGTAACGTGAGTGAGAGGGATAAATTATCATAAATAAAAATATCTACATTTTTTATGAGGTTGGGGCTTTTTGTTGCACATGAGCAATAATGACTTGAATGTGAGAGATAAATTATGCTTAATAAAAAATGCATGCTTATTAATGAGGGATGGCCATTTTCAATAAGTTGTGTTCTTTCTATTCCATTAACTTAAGAAGTATAAAATTTGCTTAAAAAGCATGAACAGAGGAAATAATTCAAATATAATATTTATCATAAAAAATGATTTAATGTGACTAAAAGATTTTCAATATTATTTTAAATAGAAGAATCAAGAGGGACATAGTGCAAATGAAAAATAGTAAGAAAAAGTTAAGAGGAGATGGGATCACAATATATTAGTTTTGAATAATTTTAATAATTCAAAATTTATAATTAAAAAATAAAAAATATTCCAGTATCTCAAAAAGCAAAGAATTAAATTTCATATATGCTGAATCACATTGAAAAAAAAAATAGTATTATCATCAAAAAACACTATGTAAGGTTAAAATATTCATAAAACACTAAAATATACAAAATGTAGTTAAAATCATAAAGGGTTAAATTGAGATAGAAACAAAATTGATATAATCTAACATAAGAATCAAGAAGGGAAAAAACAATCCTTTTTTCCATTAGCATTTAAGATCCATGGGCTTTACCTTATACGATAAAAATAACTTATAAAATTAAAATTAAAATATTATTTCATAATAGAGGCATAATACAACTGAAAAATAGCAAGAGAAAGCTAGAAGAGACAATAACATAAATAAATAACTTATAGACAATCAAAAAAAAAATAACAATACTATTAATAATATTAATAATAAGTATTATTTTATTACTATGTTCAAATTTATAATAAAAAATTTTAAACTACTCAAGAATCTAAATACTTAGTTTTTTCAATCTAATTGAGTCTCACAACCTGTGAGAGATATCAAACCACTTATTTTCTACATGTTAAAAAATCATATTACAATTTGAAAAATATACTACTATTTTATTACTATGTTCACGTTTACAAAAAAAAATCAAAACTATTCAAGAATCTAAATCCTTAGTTTTTTTTATTCTAATAGAGTTTCACGACCTGGGAGAGAGAGCACAAACCACTTATTTTCAATATGTACAAAATTCATATTACAATTTGAAAAAAATACTACATAAAGATAGAGACAGACATCGTATCTTCTATTTTTCTCTTAGGAAAATATTTTCGAGCTAAAAACTCCTTGTAAGAGATCAGTAAAGAAATGAACTTGAGAGAGAGAGATAAGGTGGGGCGTGATAGGATTTTGGGTTGTGGCTAGAGGGTTTATGGTGGATGGAAAAGGTTTTTCCTAAAAAGATATTTTGGGAGGGGAGAGATTGAGAGAGAGATTTAAAGGAGAGAGATGAATGAAATTGGAGAAATACTATATGAGAAATACATGATGGGAGTTATCACATAAAGGCATTAATTGCAATTAATGACAAGTAGTGCAAGTTGGAGAAAATAAAAAAGTGTAGCACATAAAAAAAAAGAGCTAACGTGGTAGGGAGATAGAAATAATAGGTTTCTTTATTATACGTTATTGGGAGTTACTGTAAGATAGAAATAATAGAGAGAGAGAGAGAGAAACGAAAGAGAGTAAGATAGAAAAAATAGAGAGAGAAACCTTTGAGAGAAAAGATTTTAGGAAATAAATAGGATAGAGATAACGGTAGAGAAGAAACTATAGATGATATAAATAAGGGAGAGAAGAGAGATTTTAGGAAAATAAATGGGAGAGATTTAAGAAAAAATCATGGGGGGGAGGGGAGGTGATTTATTAGGAAGGAAGACAGATGTGACACGTGGCACAAAACATGGGGAAGATATTTATAGAAATGTAAAATAGGAAGAGAGAAGAGAGAAAATCATGTGGGTGTGGGGAGGATTTATTAAGGAAGAGGAAAAATGAGACACGTGGCACAAATAGGAGGGGAGAGAGAAGATGAAATCTTGTAGGTAAGGGGAAGGTATAAAAGGGAGAGAGAGAGAAAAAATATCGTGGGGAGTGTGAGTGGGGGGGGGGGATGATTTATTAAGGAGGAAGTATGGGACACGTGGCAAAAAACAGGGGGAAGGTATTTAAAGAAATGTATAATAGCAAGAGAGTGAAGAGAGAAAATCATGTGGGTGGGAGGAGAGATTTATTAAGGAAGAGGAAAAATAAGACACATAGCACAAAAATAGGGAGAGAGAGAAGACGAAATCTTGCAGGTAAGAAGAGAGATTTAGTAAGGAAGAGGAAAAATAAGACATGTGTCACAAAAATAGAGGTGGTATTCCTCTCGCTTAATATATAGTAGATATATGTGTGTGTGAGCATACGTGCATGCATGTGTGTGTGTTCAGGACCAAGTCAATTTGACCTGATTACAACCCCCAGGATACCTCTATACAACCATAGACTCATAAGAAGCCCCCACAAACAGACTCAATCCCCATAACAACAAGAAGCATCTGCCACACCCAAAATCATCAGCACTCATTACAACCCAACCACTCCTCCCATTCCACTCCCTCGCCAAGTCTCCCCCATTAATTCATCCCTTATACATTCCCTTGCCTGCTTAACCCATCTCAAAACTCAGCGCAGTTAGAGCAAGACTTCTGTATGTGCCATAACCCTAGCATTCTGATCCTAGTAACCTAGCAAAAAACAGCTGAGACATATGAAGCCTGACCCTGGTGAGAGGAAGCATCCATTTTGGACAGCCCTGAGAATGGAACCATAAGGGAGTGCATTGCATAATCAGTAAATACATGCACATATATAAGAGTTGGTGCATTTGTATCAACTCATTATTACAATATCTGAGTTATAGATAAAATCATTTCAAAATGTTTCTAGCCATAGAAGGGTATCTCTATGTATGTATTGTAGTGTGATCAGGACAAGACCGGACCAGAGACTTGCATGTCCACTAAACAGGATGGAATCAAGAATATCTAGTTCAATCCCGTGGACAGGTCGGTTTGACTAGTCTAGACCAGAACGGCAGTCCCGTGCTACTATAAAACTAGGGGAAAATGACTGCATTTTTTTATGTGATCTTGGCCGATTTTGGCCTGGATCTATGTAGTCCTCCACGATTTGGATCCACTACGCTTCCTTAACGCCATTCAAATACAATGCTCATTGCGTAAGGAGTTAGTGGAGTGCTTTATGTATTGCTGATTAATTTGTGCTTTTTGTTGGCTTCTTGGCTTCTAATCTTGTTTACTACTTTATTTATGATTTTATTACTTCTTTATTGTTACTAAAAAAATTTATTATTTTCCTAGTATTTTTTAGCACTTTTCATATTTTTCTATTTATTTCCCTTTTTTCATTAATATATCTTTATTTTTTAAAAATTATTTTCTAAATTTTGACCAATGAACCCTTCCGGTTTGACAATTCCAATTGAACCAATGCCTTGACCAATTTGATAATTAGTTCAGTGCCGATAAAACTGATGTATACTCCTTTTACAATATTCTAATATTTAAAAATAAAAAATAATAATAATAAAATATAAACTGGCGTATCAATATATTGTGCAATGGTTGGCTATTTGCAAACTATGTAGGCCCTATTTGGACATCCGGATATCAGAGCCTTATATTTACTAGCCTTTATGGGCTTTCATGGAAATAGAAACTCTGGAATGATCATAATGACTTGTAACAAGATCTAAGCTTTTTAGCTAATAACGGCAAAAGGAGTTTTTCTTCTTTTATCACTATCAGTAAAACGCTACCGTTGGTGTTACTTTCCCGATAGGCAGGGTAACATTCCTGAAATTTGCAACCTTGACTATTTGTGTACTGGGCTGATATGCCACCCATTCAGGCACTACTATAAGGAAATTTAATTCCCACAGCGCAAAAACTGACGTCCAAGAGGTATCGTAGCATGCCCAAACTGTACACATAAAATGCAAAAACATGTTGACTGCATGCATATTTATATTTGTTGTAATGATTTTCCAATTTCCACATACTACATATGTACATACATACAAGATAAAGATATTTGCCTGAAACTCTTCTACCAATAGATTTCCCTCAAAAAAAATCTCTTCTACCATTATATTTTAGAAATAGATAACCTTACAGATCATATACTGACCATTTTCTGATTGCTGCCCTATCTTTGACATGTCCCAGACCTGTTTATAATAAATAAGTTCAAAGAACAGTGTCATCAAGGCAAGGCAGAGCTGTTACACAAGTTTATGGTATACAAACCTTCACTGATGAGTCAGAGAATCCACCTGCCACTAAGGAACCATCACGAGAAATTGACGCACAATTTAGACTGGCCAATAACACAGTAAAAACAAAAGTTAGCCATTAAAAAATAGCCAGTTCATGAACCACTCTATCAAATAGCTAAGGTAAAATGACAAGTAATACCTATTATGGGTATTTATAAAAGTATAGAAACTAACTGATGGCAGTGCTGAGCTTCCCAGCTGCGCTCGGTTTCGCAGGTCCTCTAGAAATGAGTGCTCAACTTCCATTGGACTGGCCAGATCGGAAACATTTTAAGAAGCAGGTGAGATAGTACAGTGATTGTGAACTTTTAGATAAATATACTCTTGCATATTAGGCACAAAGAAAACGTACCATGAGCAATACTCCCACCTAAAGTTTACTGAAAATCCAATATATATCACTATCTATATAAACTGGACCATAGGTATTGTGATCTCCCAACAATGGTGTGATCCTGCTTAGAATCTAGCTCCAGCGCTCTGGGAAAAGGATCTTTAAGGGAACTCAATTTTTTAATTTTGGGATCTAGATTCCCATTGTTAGGGATCCCGATTCCTGCTGTTAGGGATCTTGATCCCAACATTATAGACCAAGACAACCACTAAGCCGGTGATTTTGTTTATTTATAAACAGCTAGCAACACAACAATACTTTTAATATAGTTGCGTTGCTTGCTGGTTATAAATAAAGAGATCACTACTTTAAAGAGCATACACAGTCTCAGACTGTATACATTCTTTGTGGTTAGGAGCAAAATCCCCAAAACGTTAGAATCAAGATCCCCAAAAGGCTGAGATCTCAATCCCTAACAATGGGGATCTAGATCCTTAACATATGCACTGTATAGACAGTGCTCCCAATCATAGGGATCTTCTAACATTTCACAATATCCCACTCCCAAATCCGGTCCTGCTCCCAATCCCAACCAACTATAAACTGTAACAATGTTCATAAAAACGGAGATGGGCATCTCAGCAGCCAAAGGTCCTGGCTGCCTAGGCGGGCCCCCAAAACACCTTTGCCCTAGGGGATTGGGGAGGGGGGCCTTGGATATAGTCTATTTGTTGCAAACATAGACTCTTTTTTTTTGGGCACTACAGTCTAGTTATTTCAAACAACGATATCCCAATAACTTCAAATACATACATGAAGGAATATACATTATTTTTAACGTTTTCACACAAATTCTTTGTTGTGTAATATGAAACCATATATTGGCACTGATCCTAGTCAAATGTCTTATAATTTTTTGTAGAGTTTAGCCAAATTTCTTAATTTTCTCATAATTAATCTCCCATCCAACCAAAACATGCAACTAACCCTGATTTGTGAGGGTCCCTTGCACATTTAGTACAACACATCATCAAAACTGGTCCTTTTTAGCATCAACAATCATTTCAAATTCAAAATCATGTTTGAAGATTAAAAGAAGCCATCTTTCTGAAATAATCAATGGAAATCACAACCCAATTTCTCAAATTAAAAATTAATTGCTCCCACCAACCATCAAATTCCATTAGAGCAGCAAAAAATCAGTTTATAATCCCAAAACCCATAAGCCCCCTTAATTAAGTTTATTAAGGGGCTGACACTTTTTTAGGGGTTTGAGGGGCTAGATTGCACACACTCTACCCCCCTCCCTCTCCAAAAAAAAACAAAAAAAACACCCAGCCAAGGGCCATTTTCTGCCCTTGGCCAAGTTATTCCAAGGCGCCTGCCTTGAGGTGACCGTCTAAGTGGGGCCTTGGTCGCCTAGGAGCAAGGACGCTAGGGAGCCCGCCTAGGCGTTTGCGGCCAAATTTTCGAACATTGAATTGAACATCCACATGCAGGGTTTCTGGCATGTGCTAGCACCAAATATTATGGATACCTGTTCCAACTCAAGATCATGTGTTCTTTTATGGGTATTTTGAAATTAAATCAAAAGATATGGATAAGGTGATAAAGTGTTCATTTCTCATGGGTAAATTGATAAATATCCCATTATATTTTAACTGCATAAATACATCCAGTATATGAATATCACACATGTAGATATGTTTATGCTGTACATGGGTCAGTTCCAATGTGGCTATTTTTAGGAGTTGTGTCAAACATGGACATGGATCTATGCTTTTGCAACATAGATCAGTACTAATCAAAGAAGAGAAAAGGAATATTATTTCGTAAATATGTATTGGCAGAGATGTAAATCAAACAGGTCAGTAAACAGCTCGAGGAAAAGGGATAGTCTCCACTCGTAAAAAGGAATATCCAAAAGTTCCAAAAAGAGGGCAAAAGGAAAAAAAAAAGAATTTAGCTTCCTCACCAAGGAATACATCAACTAAATACAATAATGAATTGAGAACAACAATAACAAGGAGCTGTCATATTTTGGCAACCAAATCTCCTATATCATATTCATGTCAAATGTGGAACAAGTTATGAAATAAAAGTAACAGAAGTAAAGAACTGCACCATTAAAGCTCAATAAACCAATTGCAAATAAAAGTAATGAGAAACAGAACTTACACCACCGGTAATGGAAGTTCAGATTTCACTCGAGGAGCTACAGAAACAGTGCTTGTCTCTGTACGTATATTCTTTCCTGTTGCCCCCAAAAGCTTGTCCTTTTTCACCTTCTTAAGAGAAACTCCAGATTTTCCACCCTCTGCCTTCTTCTGGAAATGAAATAAAATGTCACGGACTGAAAATTTCAAGGGAAATACCTATAAAAGCAATCAAAATAGAATAAGAAGCACCTGAATCACATTTTACGCATTCAGTATATCAAAAGAAAATTTTGAAATTAGAGATTAATCAAGTAAGAGCTCTACATGCCTCGTACTGCACACAAATTTTGTTCCGAAATAACAAGTACATAACATCTTCAATAAATACCATAAACACAATTACATGAAACACATATAAATGTGATCCGCCCCTGACTCAAGTAGGGACCATGACACAAAAGGAGTGTGGAGAGGCACCAAACGCATGGGAATATGAGGGATCCGGAAATCATGAGGATATCAGGCAAGGTAAAGGATGATTTTGGAGGCCCGGCCAAAATCATCCGATAGGGAAAACTAATGTTTGATGATGATGTAAAGGGATAGGAGGGCGAGAGGGTGCTTAGCATAAGTGATTAGTGAGGAGGCAGGTGGAGGAAACACCTAGAACAAGGGAAACAGTTGCACGGTAGGCAAAATAGGTCCTCGCTTGAAAGGGCCATGTGAGAAAATAAAGTTCACCATCGTTGGACTAAACTAATGGAATGGATGATGAAGGCACATCTAGGATTGGGCTTGAGAGGTTAGCAGCTGACGTTAAGCAGTGCTATATCTCAAGTTCAATTTACCGCTAAAGTAACCACCGCACCCCACTCCCCTACCACCCCACCAAAAAAAAGAGAAAGGTAAAGATAAGAAAAATGGGGAAGCTTCAATTGCATCACTTGTACCATGCCTACATCATATCTCAAGCCACAATAACTAGACAAACGTTTTCAAAGTGTTAACAACAAGAAATCTTAAGTAAAATTAGAAGTTCTTATCAAGAAGGATATATGAAAGCAATGAGGAACACGTCACAACAAAAGAAGGTGAATTTGGGGAAAATACATGATTTCAGGTCATTTTTGAGAATAACATATTTATTCTCAGTGAATAGAACTCATTAATTAAATCATAACTAAAGGAACAAAACAAATTAAATAATACATGGATGTGAACCTAAATATAAATCAAAAAGGAAAATTAATCAAAAAGGAAAATTAATCAAAAAGAAAAGTTACCAAACCTACCAACCAAATCTGATATAGAACAGAATATCTTCTAGAACATTTATCAATGCATATCTTCAAAGTTTGAAGTTCACAAGATTAAAGCATTAGTAACTAAGCAAACACCATATCATCACCTTATTATCATCCATGTCTGCATCTTTGCCATCACCATCAACTTTTTCAGCTTCTGAAGCCATATTCTCTTTCTCCAATCGTTCTTCTAAAGAGTCTTCAAGCAACTAAAAAAAAAAATCTATATCAGAAGATAAAATCATTGAAAGGTCCACGAGATATATGGCTCTACAAGTACATCGTTAACATAAAGGGTAATAATCAATACAAGACAACCACTTAAGTTATTCATTGCAATAACTAACTAATAAAAGACAACCACTTAAGTTATTCAATGCCTGAAAAAACGATAATTCTTGCTCCATCAAAGAATACTGTGTCATCACATGGCCCATTACACATTGAAGGCATACAAAATGCATTGGATTCTTGATGAGGATCCTTTTTTTAGTCATATAGAAAGTAAGATTTATCTTACTGGTACAGTTTAATGTTTCTAATACTTGCAAATGCATAACAGAAGAGTGCAAATTTTCCATGAACTATGCATAATCTTTTTATACTTAACACACACTTTTTGATTTTCTGGAATTATAATGGATGTTCACCCCCAACTTATCAAGGAAAATAAAGGATGCTCCCAAGGAAAATAAAGGATATTCAACTGTACAAAATTATACTTGTAAATGAAATTGTATAGACAGATAACTCGACAATGAAAACATTTAACCATCAAAAAGAAATTAATATCTTGAAAATGGAGGCCGATACCATAAACAGTCAATAAAATTAGAGTCAATGAAGATACACCAAAAAAGCAGGTTTCATGGGTTTTCAAGATATAACGGGCATATAAAGTACTTGGGAATCAATCTCTTGATGATAAATATCAAAAATTGGTAGCCAAATCAACAACTACATTCGACACACAATATTAATTCATATTACACTCTAGCAACATCATCCATGGACCAGTAGTTAGTGATGGTGTAAATCTGCTATATCCTTCTAAAGGTAAAAGATCACTAGAAATATGATAAACATATGAAATAATGATCTCAAAAGCACGCACATAGTCCATGTGGATGAAGACTTCAGCCAGTGCATTTGGGCACGGCTCACACTTTTGCATATGCATTCAGTCCACTATTAAAACCCACTTAACCTACATGCCTATATTGTGTACACTATTAATATAATTGGGACAGTTCTTCCATTGTGCAACATGCATAGAATTTATCATTTCTAAAGTGGTGCTCCAAGAAGTTCCACAATGGAGCGAAGAAGCCCTTCGCACATCCAATTCAAGACACATAATACACTAGCATTCTTGGAGCTCAAGTTATACAACAAGGGAGAACAAAAGAAGCTCCGAAAAGCACCCTCAAAATAATATCCCAGAATCATTAAATGCAACACAAAGTATATTCTCTACTTAGAACAAGGGAAGAAAGGCAGTATACTGGTACATAAGCCAAATTACTAACAATGCTGAGCATCAAGCATAGTTATCTTATTATGTACTGTTTGAAAAAGAAGAGAAAACTGCATAGTCTTCCTCATGCAAATTGATAATTAAAACAACCACAAAAGAATGGCACGGTCATCATATCAACCATCAATACAGAAAAATATTTAAACAGCAATGTTTAGGAACTGATCAACTCACTCCCCAACGTATTTCCTTTTGATTTAACTCTTTCGCAGCATCCTGAGTGCTTCCAATCATTGTGACGGCCTCTGCATCATCTGAAATCGAGCTGGACTGTCCAGAAGAAACTGCAAGGGTTGACCACAATAACTTCATGAATAAAACTATCAAGTTAAGGGTCGCAGATGATGAAACCTGAATAATAAACAGAAACCAATATAATCATGGAACAGAGTGCAAGAACGAAACAGACAAAAATTTCCATCGAAAATGCATAGCAAATGCATGGTAACATATGAAGCAAGTATCTGTAGCACCTTCGAAATTGATATGCTCATTGATAATCCCAAGCATTTTCATAGACTCTGATTTGTGCAGATATTGCAGCAACAGCTCATATGAATACTGGGTATAAAACAGAGAAACAGAAATGGTATTAGAACTTAGCACTCATTACAATCAAAAGAGTATACTTTATGTACAAGAATAGTTTCATTTATAATAATTTCAAGTTTTCACTACATCATCACATCCTATAAGCAAATTTCTAAGTCAGTTCAAGAGAGAACATGAATAACAACAATTAAAAAAAAAGGTCATGAGAAAAGTCCACAAATTTCTATGAGCTTGAAACTTGGATGTTAGGCATAACCTGAACAAGCACGACTGCTAGCTAGCCTACTACTATGCAGTCCAATGCATATTGCTATCCAAGTTCTCAAGCCAATCACTGAAGCTTGACTCCCAAACGAAATTATCCAACTACATACGAATGACACTCTTTGAGCCACTTGGCATGACAATTTTCTGGAAGATACAAGACTCAGAAAGCCCATTGTGCCATGAAGTGTCAGCCAGACTCCAACAGGAATTCCAGCATTAATATCATGAAATCTATTCAGAATACTGTTCATAAAACAAGATTTAACAGTATAGGAAAATTCATGAGAGAAGATAATTTATCCAACTATCCATCATCATCTCCTTCTCTATAAAGAAGAGAATGTTTGATATGTGACTGAATCCAGCACATAAATTCATCCCATTTCACATTCATATCACTTATATGCTCAATATATGATCCTAATATCCGACTGGAACAGTTAGAAATTGCTGTCACTGATGTTTTCTTCCACCCAAGTATGACTTTAGAGAAGAGACAACATAGGAAAAGAGCCACACAGTTTTTGAGCTTGGTGACAAGAAAAGAGCCACACAGTTGAGAAGGAATTAATCCTTGGCACTTCTTACAAAATCATCAGCTTAGATGAAGCAATGCCATAAAAAACAACAGATAAAAATCATGCAATTGAATGCTCTTTTTTTGAGAGCAAGAGTATTAGACCATAAACCGAATGCCATAAATGAAAAATCCTTCCAGAAACAGAAAGGCTTAGAGGAGCCAGCCGTCAAATGTCAAAAAGGACTATTCTGGGATAATCAGAAGTTTGAAACCAAACTCCAAAGCAGACACCACAGAAACTATGACCAAAAAAAACCTACATTCCAACATTTAAGTTGTCACATCAGCCAAAACATAGCATACTTTACCTTATGAAAACAGTATGATAGTATGCAAAGAGTCCAGGACACCTTGTACCTGACATAGCTTAATGTTGACTTTACTCTGCCTCAACGATCGAGCAAATTCCATCTCCTGTACAAATATTGAAGTTTCTAGAAAGTAAGACATCATCACTTGTAGATTTTAAGCACTGAAAAGGATGGCATGAAAAAGGTCATGTAAATACACCTCCAAATGCGAGGGTAAGATAATTCCTTCCAACTTTTGGAGGTCTCGGAGGTACAACAGCTCATGATCTTCGCGGTAGGCAAGGAAAAAATTTCGAGCTGGGGAGCCGCTTGCACAGTTACAAAAAATAAAAGGTTATGAGATGCACCTTTAACATATTAACCAGTTAATCCAAGTATCATCATCTAACAAAATAAGAAGCATACCTTCCTGGCCATGTCCCTTTGCAACAAGATCCATAAAACAGTGGACAAAAACTGGATAGAGTACACGGAGTAACTCATGCTGAGTGAACCATGAAATAATAACATTTTGTTACTGACTTACAAATTGAAATTTAAGTAGCATATCCAGCAAGATATATCATAAAACAAGAAACAGACAGCAATGGATTCACAGCAGAGGAGGAGCTTCAATAATCAATATTGTACGAAACATATTCTCAAAATTTCTAAAAATGCATAAGCATGTCTAGATGTACTTGTTAAGTTGATATTACCAATAATTCAATGCTACGATAAAAATAATCATAATAAAGAATTATTTGTTATTTGGTATTGTCCACAACAAAATTATTTGAGATAAACTTCTAAATTGTTTTCTACAGATATCTTTAGAAAGCTGGTCTTACTTTATTGTCCATAAGTATCCCGTTGGGGATTTTTGTTTAGGGTAAAGAGCGAAAAGAACTATCTATCTCTCCAAGTCCTAACCGCCACTCTCCAGGCTTTATCCATGAGTAATGATGAACATGGCTGATAATTTTTAGCAAACAAAATGTCATACAATTGATCCTCTCTCTCTCTC